CCCCCGACTTCTTGCAGGAAAGTACCACTCTAAAAATGGACTTTTCCTAGCAACTATTCCAGTCTCTTCTCCCACCTACTGACCTCTGCTGCCTATGTCTCAGATCTTACTGTCGCTTCACTAAGAGTTGAGGCCTGCTAGGCTGAAGGGAGCAGCAGGATGCTTCGGTGGTCTGCCATTTGGGGGCTGTCGCTTCCTCGGATCTTCCCCTCCTTGCTAGTGGTGGTCGCCTTGGTGGGCCTGTTACCGGTCCTCAGCCCCACAGCCAGCACCATCCCAGGGTCTGAGCCACCCCGAGAACGCTCGATTGGGGATGTCACCACTGCCCCACCGGAGACACCACACCACCCAGTGAGCTACCCTGTGAACCATTCCGTGGAACATGGCTCCAAGCATAGAAAGGCCTTTCCAGTCCTGGGCATCGACTATACACACGTGCGCACACCCTTTGAGATCTCCCTCTGGATCCTGCTGGCCTGCCTCATGAAAATAGGTAAGTTGTCATTTGCTTGATGCTACTGTCCCACCACCAGACTGGTGATCTTCATGCCCCATTGAGGCTGCCCAAAATTGAGGGGCTGAAGTACTCCTGTCACATGCCACAGTTTCCACCCTGCCATCTTGGTCTGTCTCAAACTTCAGCTCTGTCTTTTGTGGGTCTGAGGTGTCCTAGGATTGAAGCTGGCATGGATGGGAGAGAGAGAACGAGAGAGCAGTGTTCGGGTGGTTCTGATGCTGTGCACCTACAGCAAAGCTTCCAGGCCTGACAAGTCTCCTCTGACTGCCCAGATCTAGAGGGGAGTCAGGCACCCAGCTGTATGTGAGACAGAGAAAAGTATCTTTTAGCAGTTGGCACTTTCTACTCTGTCAACAGCAACCAGTGCAGTTTATTACCTAATTCATGGGAGGGTGTTCTGGTTGTATTTCTACTTGGTCTGTCTGAGGAGCTTGGGTATAGCAGCCATGTGGGTGCAGGAGACTTACCAGTATGGCAGAACCCCATAGTCTCACCCTCTTTCATCCCCACAATGTTAACCCCAAGGGACCCCATAGTCTCACCCTTTTTCATCCTCACAATGTTATCTGCCAGTTCTGACTACCCAGGCTGCTTAGAAACCCCTGAGTCAGTATTCAGCCCAAGAATGTCATCCTTTATACATCCCTATATATGGGAATTTCTGAAGGTTGTCTTGAAGGTGGTGGTAGAGTGCAGGAGGTTGAAGCTAGGTCTGATCCAAAGTTGGCACCCAGCTGTGTCTCAAGGGACTGTCTGGACTGACCAGAGACGTTGACTACTAATTCAAATAGGAGAGATACAGGGAGAAGGACTAGGGGTTTTCTGAGGAGACTTTGAAATACTCTTTTTGGGAGAAGGAAATAAAAAAGTTATTCCCTCCTAGGGGATTGGGTTCCCTGCCTAGCCTGACCACCCTGTTCTGCTGAGTGATCGTTGGAGCTCAGCAGAGCCTGCGTTGTCCAGAAGCCCTTGGCAGTGGTGTCCAAGGGGGTCTTGTGAGCTGTCTTTGCTGTTTTGGCCTGCCTCTACTAGCTGTAGAAGACTCAAGGTCCTGGGACTCTTCCCCTTTTTGCCTGGAGATTGGAGTTTGGGAAATTTGAGGCTGCTGGCTGGAAGCCTTGCACCTTTCCCAAGGACGTGCAGCAGCTGAGTGCTGGTGCCAGACTGGTGTGAGGCAGGCTGTGGGACATGCTGCAGGAATGAAGCAGTGCCTCTTTTGCTAGAGCCAGGAGCTGGCTTCCTGGTGCAGGGCTTTGGTGATGAGCCGGTCACAGTGGAGGGGCCTGGTCATGGAAGCTGGGCGTCATTCACACCTACACCCTCATGCAAGCCAGATAATTGAGGGAAAGAAATCAAGGATTGGGCAAGGGGAACAGTATGTCCTGATTCTGACATAAATATATGACCTTGAACAGCTGGGGCCTTTTCTGCAGATCTCCCTTTTGTGAAATGGCAAGAATCTTAACCGCTATTTGGCTGTATCAGTTGAGTCATGAAACATTATGTCTCAGTTTGTTGTAAGAATCTGAAGTGACCATGGTATGGCATTTGCCTGTATGAAACCAGGAAGAGACCTCACAAGTGCTGTCTAATAAATTGCCTTCTCCCACCAACCTCCTCACCTCCCAACTATACCTGACCTTGTACTAGAGGCTGGGGGGCTGGTACACACAGAGGGTTTCAGTGCCTGCTGGGAGGATGAAGGCATGACTGCAAAGACCCCACTTTGGGAGTCCGAAGTTTCTCCATGCAGGCCTGCTAGTCCAAATGGAATCTGGCTGTGCCTGCTTTGTCACCATCAGAGTGCTGGGTCGTGGATCCTAGGCAGCTGGAGAGCAGAGATGTCCTGTGGCAGTCTAGAAATAATCAGGAAACCTGGCTTCTCATCCCTCCTTCCATGACCTTGGGCAGTCATGCCACCCTACCCTGCAGTTGATCTTTGTGACCCTTTGCAGCCTGACATTTCTGTTGTTTCACTGACTGTGGAAACCCAGGCAAGTCACTCAGTCCTGGGCCTCTGTATTTACATCATAAAGTGAAGAGACTGGGTATGATGTTCTTTGTAGTTCCAAAAAGTCTGTGTCTTCGGCAGAAAAAAAAAAAAAAAAAAAAAAAAAAAATCTATCTATCTATCTATATCTTCCAATCTTTAAAATTTTTTTTTTTTGTTGGGTTTTTTTTTTTTTTTTTTTAATGCCTTTTTTTTTTTTTTTTGTGGAACCGGGGATTGAACTCAGATCTTTGCGTTTGCCAGTCAAGCGCTTATCCTACTGAGCCATCTCCCTGGCCCCCCCCTTTTTTTTTTGACTAGGGTTTTTTTTTTTTTGACTAGCCTTTCACAGTAAAGACCTAGCCCTTTATTTTATTTTTATTTTGACATAAAGTCTCAGTTGCTAAATTGCCTAGACTGAGCTTTAACTTGTGATCCTCCTGCCTTAGCCTCCCAGAGTGCTGAAATTACAGATGTGTACCCCATACATGACTGGAAAAGGTGATTTTTTTTTTTTCCAGCATTGGAGGTCGAACTCAGACCTTGTGCTTACCAGTCAGGATGCTTATGCCCACTGAGCTATCTCTCTGGCCTGAAAAAGTATTTCTCTGACTTGAACACTAAAGAGCCCTAGTAACTGGTCACCCTGAAGAAAAGAATAGAAGGAAAGGTGATCAGAAGACCTCAAGGGTCCCTGTTCAGCTAGGAGTAAAAGAAACACAGGCATGTAATTCTAGCTGTACAAGAGGCTGAAGTAGGAGCATTGCAAGTGTATGGCTAGACTGGGCAATACAGTGAGACTGGCTCAAAATAAAATGAAAAAGACTTGGAATAGTGCCTGGCAAACATGCAGGAGGTCCTAGGTCTGCAAAGATCCCTGTTCAGATGGAAAAAGCTCAAAAAGCTCCCCGCCCCACACCTTTGCAGTGTAGAACTAAGATCAGAATCGATGTTAAAGTGTGGGATTCAGCTACCGCTCTGCCACTTAATGGTCCCTGAGTCTCAGTTTCCTTGGGCATAAAATAGGAAATAAGGCTTAGGGATGTAGCTCCGTGGCAGAACATTTACTTAACATGTGCAAAGTCCTGGGTTCCATTCCCAGCACTTCAAAAAGGCCAAAACCGGGGCTGGTGAGATGGCTCAGTGGTCTAAAGCACCTACTTAGAACAAGCTTAGCAAAGCACAGGGACCACGTGTTCGATCCCCCAGCACCACATGCCAGCCCGCCCCGCCCCCAGGTGGGCTGAGCTGGCCACACACACACACACACACACACAAAAAAATTAAAAAAAAAAAAGGCCAAAACCTAAAACAAATACCTGCCCCCCAGAGGGGCAATAATATAATTTATCTGTAGTGTGTTGATATGATAGTATAAATTAATACCCTAAAGCTGACTTTGTACATGCAGGGAGCACTTAGTGAACAGCAACTACCATATTCATATTTTTACCACCTAAGGCAATTAATTGCCTCCTTCCTCCTACAGTCTTTCTCTAAGGCTAGAAGATCACAGATCTCTAAACTCTAGACTGCCATTGGATGTCCTTCCATAAGTTTTCGCAGTTCTGTGCCTGTCCAACTTACTTTATTCTTTCTTTTGAGCTGCCTTCTCTTGCTGGACAGGCTGGTCTTGGAGGAGGGGAGGTGGTACCAACTGCCTTGGGGGATATGTCACGGAGACCGTGCTCCCTCCGCACTGTCAGATACCCAAGTGCCTAGGAGTTTATTTTTGGGTCTTGCCCACCCCAGTGTGGGTAGAAGTTGTCGGAGCCCTCATTTTGTCAGCTGTGGCAGCTGCCTCCCTTGCAAGTTGCCCCTCCTTGTAAGAATGGAAAGTGCTGTGTGCAGTCTTCTTCCTACTCTGATCTTGGAGCAGAGCTTCTAGGAGCCTTTTGCAGAGACTGCTGTGGGAGGGGCACAGTTAGAGCTGATGTTCTAGAGCAATAGAGGCCTCTGGGTTCTATTTTAACGGGGACCTGGAGTGACATTAGGCTAATCATTTCCCCTTTCTCTGGGTCTTTTTTCTCTCCCCACCACCCATCAGGGATTTTTGTCTTTTCTTGGTGGAGAGAGCTAGTGGCCTGAAGAGGATTTAGACTTGGGAGAATTCCTGAGAGTCTACCTGAGCCTTAAGGGTAGGGTCACCCCACCCCCACCCCCTCCTCCACCTCCACCCCCGCCTCTGCACACTGTGGTTTGGCTTCTGCATGAATTCTGCTTTGTCCCAGTTCATCTGACTCCCAGGGCAGGGCCTGTTCCTGGGAGAACTTCACGGTAATGCAGCTCACTGCTGGCAGCCCCCCTGTGTTGTTTGCCCGTACTCCTGACCTGGAATTCTTGGCAAAGGCTCAGAAGCCCATAAAGCAGGTATTCATCTTGTGTCCTGACCAGAGACAAAAAAGACTTCTTTTGTCCCTTTATGTCTTATAACTTTTTGGTTTTGGTCTTTGCAAGGTGTGTCCTGCCATTTCCTCTTTAGAACAAGTCTATGAGTACGAGAAATAGGGTCATTACTGCCACTTCACATGGTTGGATATTGGATCCAGCAATTGGTTTCCTGTACAAATGAGACTAGAACTAGCTTCTGCTTTTTCCAAAGGAGAGAGGAAGAGACAGCTTAAAGGTCACCTTGAAACCATCACAAGAAGCCCAAATGGAACTCTTTAAAAAGAAAGAAGTGGGCTTTTTCTTTTTGGGGAAACAGCTGACTGACTTTAGGACAGTTAGGGGAGGTTAGCTAGGTCCAGGAAGAAGGCATCAGGTAGGATATACATCCCAGGAGTGCCAGAGCACTTGGAAGGCCTAGCTTGGTCAGGTGTCTGGGCTTCATTTAGCTGAACACCCACGAGACACCTTTCCATTTCTCATTTCCAACCAACTCAGGTATAAAGGAAAGGCATGGTCATAAACCTGGGGCACCATCTGTTAAACCATCTCAGTATCTGTGTGACTCTGGATTTATGCACCTCCTTTCTCTGAACCT